AAAATATTTTACAAGGACAAAAAAGGAATAGGGAGATGTAGGAAGTGTGGCGGTGGAGGGAATAACACTCTAGAAAGTTTCATGAAAAAACAAGCATACTAACGACAATTATTGTGACACTCGATATTACTTAGTAAAAGTATAGATTAGTTTTACTGCAATAACATGTTTGGGAATAGGCTAAACTTTTGCTTTCAGATCACGTACGGCTGCAAGTCAATCAAACACGCCACAAAGAGATTCAAGTCAAAATCTACATGCTCATCGTCAGCTTCAAACCATTCTTCATCTTCCTTCTTTTTATACTATTGTTTGGTTTCCTAAGAAAGATGATTAAACTTTCACTTTCTTTAAATCCTATTTTAAAATAATTTATATGTAATATTGATAAACCAAACTATAACTAATATGTGCATGTGTAAAGAAATAAGAAAAAAAATAGAAACATATTGTTTGTTAGTGGTTGTTTTTTTCATAAATAGTATACTTTTTTTTTTTAATTTTTTAAAATGGGCATACTTAAAAGAATTACAAAGTATGAGATAAGTTATGTTCAACTAACATGATTTTAACATTGTATTTTACTGAAGTTGTGAACTTCAAATTCAAATTTCTGAAGTCAAAAGTCGTGTACCAAATGCCCGACTTCATGGTAAGTAGTTATTTACTAAAGTCTTGAAAGGGGAGAACAACTTTCAATGTTTTTTAAATTAAAAGTCGTGAATGAAACACAATTTTTGCTTAAAATTTGTTTAATCGAAATTGTGTGGATAGAGAATGATTTTCAATTTCTTTTTTAATATAGAAGTCTTGTTTAGGTCGCAAGACTTTTATGTAAATTATTTTAAACTAAACTCATGATCACTATACACTCCGAAATTGTGATTTTGCAGTATTGAAGTCGTGACTTTAGGTCATGATTTTCAATTTGAAAATTTATTTTGCAATGCTTGTTTGATCCGTGCTAACTCAAGGTATAATAAGATATGGAAAGTTTTGTTGAAATAAAAGAAAGAATATATATATATATATATATATATATATATATATATATATATAATGACTTAGAAGATCTCATAAATAGGTACCATTACAAGAAAAATAAATATTATATTGAAAGGCTTAGCCTCACATTAATCTAGTTAGGAGATTATCAAGAGTAAGCCAGAGAGGCACTAATAGAAAGATAATAAATACATTTCTATGCAAGATATACCTTACTAACAAATTGATAAATAATAATTATTTTCCTCCATAAGTGGATAGTGCATAAAACATGTGAAAAACAACGTCTAATTCAATAATAACAGAAGTTGTCTTCATGAGTTATCATTCAATAAGCATGGATTTGGAAGTTGTCGGATAAAAGAACAACTTCAAAATTGCAAAATTACAAATTAAAACTCGTCTATAATAATTCAGTTCAAATATGGAAGTCGTGCAAGTCATACACGACATCTAATTTAAAAAAGAAATAATAAAAAATTATCTTCTCTCCGTATGACTTCAAGTAAACTGATTTTACACTAAAATCTTGCATATTATGTATACGAGTTGTGATTTGAAAAAAAAAATTAAAATTTATACTCTTCTCTCACAACTTCCATAGGAATAGGTTTACGCATTGTGCATATTGCACATAATTTCATAGTTTGAAGATTTAAAATAAAAATCGACTTTCAAACTCCCGATATCTATAAAATTTAACATTGAAGTTATGTTTATAGGGCAGGATTTGCTCAAAAGTTGAATTTTTTTTAAATTATCCATTTTGGTAATTTGCATACAGAAGTTAAAAAAAAAAGTGTTTGTTAATGTTTATGTATGTTAGGTAATGTCCATCATCTTCTCTTAAAAATGAATAAATGGCTTACGTGTTGGTTTGTCCGTCAATATGCATGGCAGAGTAGCATTTACAATAAATATTATGGTCAATTCTGGAGGGTCATTGCCTAATTGGAAGATCAACATAATTTTCAAATTTTCAAAGAATTTATATATCATTACTCTCCATATTTCTGAAGTAACAAAGGAAATGGACACATGAAATTATGATCTTCATTTAGACTTTGCGTACAAGGAATAAAGTAAAAAAAAAAGTGAAATAATTATATAAATAACATTAATTTTCAAATATTTGACTATATTAAGAAAGTTATGTAACGGAGGGAATTCTTAAAAATAAAAGTGATTTAAGAAAAAGAATAAGCGGAAGTAGAATGCCTATTGTGATTGAGTTTCTCTCTCCATAAACAAAAAGAAGAAGAAAACTTAAGAAGGAATTCAGGACATAAATGATTCTTAATGTGAAGTCTATGTGGAGATGTTGGAGAATGCCTAATTGTGCGTGCTTTTTAAATACAGTTTCATACTTTTCAAATACTTACGAAATAGAGATCACATGAATCCACTTCAAAGCCTCAAAGAAAGGCGTGAGGAACGCACTCTTAGAAAACTCAAACTCCACCCACTTGCTTCAGTGCGTGTCTACCTCCCCAATGGCCCCCATCATACTCCTCCTCCTCCTTTTCCCTTCACATTCACCACACACATCAAAATTCAAATAATTCCAAACAAACTAACTATACCATTTCTATGCCCATATCCTCAGAACACCCTGAGGAAATGGCCCTCACCACCAAGTCCAGAAAACCCAATTCACCTTCAAACTTTTACTTTTGCACCACCCTTTTCTTCGTTGTCCTCTTCACTATACCAGTTCTTTTCCTCCTCCATACCCCAACCACCACCTCCTTATGCACTACGCTTTCTTCCTCCCAAACTAAAACTTGGTCGGGTGATCTTCAGTTGGCTGAATTTGCATGGAACCGTCTCTCATTTTCTGAGCGCAACACGCCACCCTTTGCTCTCAAAATTGCTGTCTTCTCCAGGAAGTGGCCTATTGGCACAACCCCTGGTGGCATGGAACGCCATGCTCACACCCTTCACACTGCTTTAGCACGCCTTGGCCATCAAGTTCATGTCTTTACGTCTCCACCCCAAGATGAAAGCACTTCAATCTCATCCTCTGAAAAAGGTGCACCTTCTTCCCCTTACATTCATTTCCATGAAGGTGAGCCTGGGAGGTGGCGCTATAACAAGGCATGGGAGCAATTTGTGGAAGAAAACGGGAGAGAACCGTTTGATGTTGTGCACTCGGAAAGCGTGGCACTCCCACATTGGCTAGCACGCAACATGTCAAACCTTGCTGTGTCTTGGCATGGCATAGCCCTTGAGAGCTTGCAATCGAGTATTTTCCAGGACTTGGCTCGCCAGCCAGATGAGCCTATGTCCCCTTTTTTCAACAACAGCATACAGGGTGTTGTGCCAAAGGTGCTGAAGGAGATAAGGTTCTTCAGGAATTATGCGCATCATGTTGCTATTAGTGATAGCTGTGGTGAGATGCTCAGGGATGTGTACCAAATTCCTAACAGAAGAGTTCACGTGATTCTAAATGGTGTTGATGAGGATGACTTTAGAGAAGATGCAGAATTGGGAAGGGAATTCAGAAGAAAAATTGGCATTCCAAGGAATGCAAGTTTGGTACTTGGTGTTGCTGGAAGATTAGTGAAGGACAAAGGCCATCCTCTGCTTCATGAAGCTTACTCGAGGCTTATAACCAAGTACTCTGACGTGTACTTGATTGTAGCTGGTTCTGGACCATGGGAAAACAGGTACAGGGATTTCGGAAGCCAGGTTCTTGTTCTGGGATCGATGAGTCCTTCCATGTTAAGAGCGTTCTACAATGCAATTGACATTTTTGTCAATCCCACACTCAGACCACAAGGGCTTGACCTTACATTGATGGAGGCAATGATGAGTGGGAAACCTCTTTTGGCATCAAGATTTCCAAGCATTAAAGGGACTATTGTGGTTGATGATGAATATGGCTACATGTTTTCCCCTAATGTGGAGTCCCTGTTGGAGGCACTGGAAGCAGTGGTAAAGGAAGGACCGCAGAGGCTAGCAAAGAGGGGCAAGGCATGCCGAGAATATGCTGCCAAAATGTTTACAGCAAGAAAGATGGCATTAGCATATGAGAGGTTATTCTTGTGTATAAAAAATCACACCTTCTGTTCCTATACTTGAAGCTTAGGTTAGGCAAGACACTCTTTTTACAACTTCCTTTCTTACATTATTTTTCTTCTATTCAGTATGATAAAATTATATTCAAATTATTATAAAATCTTGAATTACTTTCGTACATTATGGTTTTCGTAACAAAATATCTACTGATCGACCGGCACATTGAGTCTTGTTATATGTGGATATACGGAAGATAATTCATCGATAATTAAAAATAAACAGACACTTCGTCTCTTTTATCTCAACACAGAACACACCAATGACTTAGAACATGATAAAGATCACGAGTGGTATCACAAAATATCTGTCAGGAAGTATAGCTTGACAAGTAATCAGAATTTAAAAGTCAAAATCTGCCTCCACCTTAGCGAGTGATATAAAGTCAGAATTCATAACAGATCCTGGGAAAAAGGAAAAGAGTCTCGCTCAAGGTCATACATTCAGATGAAGCTTGCTTCTTGTGATTCCCAAATACAAAATTGAACTCTCTGATGTCTGTTTTTTCTCTGTAAATGGAAAAACTGAAGAAAAAGAAAACAAGCGACTTTAAAGAAACTTGGGAACTTGAGCCACATATTCATTGGAAATAAGAGTTTAAAGTATTAAATAACTATAGTTTTTAAAATGTCTTGTCTAATTTGTTGAAAGAGCTCAATTTCAAAGTGATCAAAAAGTGTATGGGAGCAGCCTCTTTGGATCTAAAATGCATCAAACTCGGCTAAAGCATAGCTCCTGCTTCGACAGCTAACTGTCAGGCTGAGCATAAAACTTTGTTCAAAGCAGAGGAGTTATTTGCTTACTGTGAGCTAAATCATGGCTGCAAAACAGGCAAAAATTCTGGCTGCGCCAAATGTCATCCTGTTTCATTGATGCATAGTTCCTCACAGACTACTTCTCCCCGTCTTCTCATTTTGGTGTACTGTGAAAGATTTAAACAAAATCTTTATTCTCTTCGTTCTAAATCTACAACTCTCTTCGGAGACAATACATACACTTGTTCCTCAAGAATAGCTATAGCTTTGCTTCTCTAATCTCAACCTCTAAATGCAAAATCATCCTAATACAATGAAGTTTCCGCTACTGTACAAGTGAACCACACCAAGATCTCATGGCCCATCAATAACAAAAATTAAGACACAACTGATTGTGTTGATATACGGTGTTTCTCAAAATGTTCATATGCATGCTTGGTTCTTAAGAATAATAGGATGCTTGATGCTAGTCCAAGGACAGATATGCATCCCCACCAGACAAATGTCCAGAAGTAGCACTCCCTTCCCATGCACACTACTTTGTCAGACATTATCAAGTTTCCTGGTATTGTGTGTGCATTAGCATCATAAACTAGTGCAGCGAGAAAGCCATAGAGAAGAGAGCCAATAGGTATATTTGTTATGAGGATGTTGTGGTTGACACCCACACTATTAGGTCCAAACAGCTCAGACGTAACTGACACGGCAGCTGCGAATATAAAACCAGAGCTCAATCCAATCAGTGCGGTGCCTGTCTGCAGTACCAGAAGACTGTCTGATGCAGCAAGGAGGAAGAACGCAACTGGGGTTGGTATAAGTGCAAGTGAAAGCCAACCAGTCCTTGCAAAGTAGAGCTTACTGCAATGCAGAAGACACAATCATCATATTTGCTACCATTTTATTTCTAAGATTCACTTTCAATTCAAGATAAAGACAAAAGAAGTTATTTTTTGCTATAGAAAGCTCCAGAAGTATAGTATATTAGCAGATTGAAGAGAATACTTACTTCCGAATATAGTCTGGTCCAGCTGAAAGCAAGCGTCCAAAAAAGGAAAAAGATGCATAGAGCGTGACAAGCGTAGAAGTATTTGAGCTCTGGCCTAGAGATTGAGCAATCTGTCCAAGATTATTGCTATAGACTAGACCAAGTGTACCTCCACAGAAGTATGTAATATAGTATAGCCAAAAATCCAATCTTCGAACAATTACTGCAGCTGGGTGCTCTTCTCCTAGCATTGCTAATTGATCCTGGCCAATTACCCTCTCGCAACATACATCATTCTCTTTTGCGTTCTGACTGCCATACATGTATCCATTGTCACTTAGCAGGTTGTAAGTGTCTCCATTGCTAACAAGACTACTGTGACGGCTATGGAGTTCTTTATGCATCTCAAGATCATCATCATGAACAAGAATGAAGCTGGAGCTTTCCATCCGAAAGCTGGAATGGATGGTATTCCGAAACCATGCCCGAGCATATACTATGCCTGGAATACAAAATGGGAAGATGAGGAGGAGAATAGCTCCACCAAAACATAACCGAGCAGAAGCCACACCAGAAGTGGAAGAGCCAAACAGGAGAAGATAAAGACCAGTTAAAAGGGCTAGGATGTTCAATATTAGAAATATAACTGAGTCCCGGTTTACTGCATCAGGAGGGAGAGGGTCTAAAGTCGGTTGGCGAAGAATAGGAACAAGTGCTGCTATACAAATAAGAAGGGGAACAAGAGCATTCAAAAGCAGATAGAGTGCACTGGAGGAAGGGTCAATAGAATTGGCAGCAAGGGTATATAGTGCTGCACTGACGCCTTTGAAACTCACAGTGAGCGATAGGGCAAGAGCTCGGTTAACTGGGAAATTCCTAATGCAAAGAACAAAACATACTGTGTTGAACCAACAGATGCTACAGCCACCTAAAAGGCACAAAAGAAAGACCTGCCAATAAAAATTAAAGGGTAATCAACTATCAATGAGTAAATTTTCTGCATATTACAATGCAGTGATGTTTAAGAGCTTATCAGCCTCGGTTTAATTACCATATGTAATCACAAAATTACTGAATCGCACCGTTTACATGTGTTCTTTTAAACTACGGCATCTTATTATTTGGAATACAGCACATCGTGCAGAGAAATTATGGAAGTATTTTTTATATAGTATGAGACTCAGGTACTTCCAGCTTAAATCAGTTAACTAATCGACTATTTATAGTTTTATAAGGAATGCCATGTGAGATTAATGATTAATAGGCAAAGAGCCATGCTACAATTGAATTATCACCTCGCCACATGCAACATGTTCAAGCTTAGATCTCATAATGGTGAATAAGCAAACGTGAATTCAATCATAAAATCTCATGCAATTTTTTTTCTTTTATATTCTGTCAAATGCTTGCCATGAAAGGGGTCTGGTTCTCATTTCGCCAATACATTTTGCAATCAACAGATAGAGCATTTTGAAGACATATATCCATCAATCCATTTAAAAATTTGAAAACATTGGATTGGACCTTAATTGAACTATCAGAAATAAGAAATGTAGATCCAAATATATTCGTCACCAATCGGGTTTTTCTGGTTGATTGCAGAAATACAATCACAATCGTACTTATGCGCCTCGTATGTTGTGCCAAATCATTGCAGCTATCGAAAGCAGTAAACTTGTAGAGATCTTTTAGGACTACAGGTATGTCCATAATCAAGAACATTCATCACATCAATCAGTTAGATGTTTTAACTAGTATTTTTTTTCAAATGTAAGTGGTGAAGCAGAAACCTTTAATTACTAAGGAAAATTACACATACATTACCGATATAAAAATTGTGCAGGATTTGAACGATAGAACATGGCTGCTCTGTTGTTTAAAAGAACTATTTTATTATGCTCATAGAACTATGAATATAATTGAGATAGGACTACAAGCAACGAAACCGCAAACTGTATGATATTAATATGGTAATTATTATAATATAATCCCTTCAAACAGTAAAACCTGATATCAGTTTCAGATATATCTACCCAAGATACAACATTCCATTCAACAATAACTTGCTAGCTTCAGATCAAAATTTTGATAATATTTTCTCTTTTATATTTCAATTCATCTAATAAACCTTTCAGAGGGTATCATTTAACCAGAATCAAAATTTCTATTATTTTATTTTTTTATTTTTTTAAAATTAAAAAAAGAAAATTTCGTAATTTTGAGGGTGTCATTTCACCAGAATCAAAATACCATTAACATAATCCCTCAATCATTGAAAAAAGAAATAAAATATACTAATTTTCAAGAAAGAAGTGTCAATAGTGTTTAGTGGATGCTGATAAAAAAAATAGTGTTTAGTGCAACAGAGAAGATCTGTTCCGAGAAACAAGGCAATTTGATTCTCTGACAGTGTTTATATAAAGTGTATATCAAGTAACTATATTTTAACCTATGAATTACATTAAAATAAGAAGAAAATCAAAATATATCTTGTTAATTACAATAATATCGTCTTCAAAACGAGTAAAAGTAAACACGTAATGATGATATTTATTAAACCATTTTGAAAACAAAACTTATATTTAGATATTAGAAATTTAGAAGTTAATAGAGTTTTACTGTATCATGTAATAAAACCATATGTAAGCTAAAAGTATTAAGTTTCCATTAATTACTTTTAAAATTAAATCTAGCTATGTCATTTATAAAAAGAGGAAAAGATATTTTTTTTACTTATATCACAAATTATCTAATTATAATTTTATATAAACATTAGACTTATTACAAATTCTGTCGTTTTAGTTATATTTTTTGCCAATTTTATCCGTGAAAATATTTTCCCATACTTCTTATCGATCATTGTATTTATCAATTTTCACATGTCATATCAATATGTTTATTGTGTAGGAAAGTGTATGTATCTATAAAATAATTCATATTTACGATAATTTTATTTTAAATAGTGGGACAATTATACGGATGATAGTTGTTCAGTGTTCGTTCTTATAAAAAATATCATATTATTTCGGATTGACTATTCTCTTGAAAAATATTTATAAATTATTTTGTAGCAGTATATATAATGAATATTTATAAAAAGGATTAAACTTTAAATAAATTTTAACTTTTTTAAAAATGAAAATAAAAATTCATTTTAAAATACATTCCACATAAAAGGGCATTTTAAAATATTAATACAAACGAAATTAATTTTTCTAAAAAATAAATCTAAATCGGCCTTACAAAGTATAAATTTAAAGAAAATAAAGTTTAATTTCCTAAATATAAATACAAATTTATAAAATCAAACTTTGAACATTTTTATTGATGTTTTATTCATCAATTTCACTTTAGTGACTTAATTTAAAAAAGAAACATCCAAACAAAGACATTAAACATAGAGACATTAAACATAGAGAATGAATATTCATAATTCATATGCATACCATGGATGACGTACTTATCTATAATTATATACATATATTCATTATAAATATTTATATCACGCATCTTTGGTCATGTCATTTTGTTACCAACGCCGACACATAAAAACAAAAAAAAATGTAAACAATAAAACAAGCGAAAATTAAAAACTTAATAGTAGAATACAAGCAATAAAATTATAATTGAATGGTACTAAAGGGTTATTATACTTAAATACTATAAAATCATATTAATAATTATTTAAATATCAACATTACGTCATTAATATGTATGTAGACAAATTTATTACTGATTTTTATGAAAACATACTAAAGAGAATGACTTCTTATATACATCAACAAGATATAACTCTTAACTAATACAGAATGCCTAAAAGAAATATGGTTAAAAGGGTATTAATCTTATATTTTGTTTTTCTTTCCTCGGTGGCTTCAAAACAAAACCAACACTGCCAGTGTATATTAGTTACGTAACCTAGTCATTAGCCAGCTAACCATGAATATTATTGTGAGAAGTCAGAAATAAATAATAATTAAGGTAATGACTGCTCACTCCATAAATAAATAAATAAATTGGACCTCACTGAAAGAATAAAAAAAAAAGAGGCAAAAGTGAGAGAATAAAAGTTACCATAAAATAAGGCAAATCGACCACTCCGGTAAGGAGGAGCCACTGGAGGCCGTAGCCGAAGAATCCCATGGTAGCAGCGATGAACAAGACGACCGATAGGGGAAGGTACATGAGCGCGATGCCAGATGACCAGCCGAAAACCTTCCCCATGTCGTTGGCGGTGGCGAGGTAGTTCAATTGCACCTGCGAGATGTTGAGCGCGGATTTGAGCGACGAGGAGTACTGTGAGAAATCGAAATTAGTGCCGGTGAAGGCCTGAATCCAAATCGTTGCAACTAAGATCATCCATTTCCGTGATTGCCCCGCCATCAGAGCGAACAGTCGCGGCCTTCGACGCGGCGATTCGGAGCCTGCTGCTGAGTTTCGCGATTCCGAAGCGAATCTGCGCCTCTCACTATCCTTGCGTGGTCTCATGTTAAATGCGTGATGTGCTCCTTATATACATATACGAGGAAAAGTGAGATTGCAATTGCCAGAGGAGAAATTTTAAATTTCCCCCACCCAGGACAAGGGGCTGTTCGTCTCTTTTCACATCTCGTGTCACCCACTTTCATCGTTTTATGCCATTTGACTTGTCTTTGTATTATTAATTATTAAAAACAACATAATTTAAATTCAATTCAATTCAATTTTTCTTCCTCACTTAATCTCTAGCCTTTAAAATTGATTAAAATAATATGATAATAAATAAATAAATTAATATCTATAATTTAAATTGATTGTCAATTTTGCAATATTAATTTTGATCTTGATCACACCTAACAAACTATTATAAAGTACTGAGTCAGCTGTAATTAATGTTAATGAACGACTCAAGGATGAATTTCATCAAAGGGAAATATTTTAAGATGTCTTGATAAAAAAACAAATAAACCTGAAAGATTAAAAAATTAATTTGTGGAAACAGAATTTTTTTTGGTCAAATTAAGTTAATTTCTACTTGGATCGTGTGTAATAATATTTATAAGTAGGTGGGAACAGCTACTTAATTTTTTTTTGTTCGGTAGAAAATTCTACTTAAAGAGAATAAATATACATTATGCAAATTAGTTTTACTATATTACGTATGTAAACTTAAAGAAGTAGTTTTTCACTAAGAAAATTAATTTTTTTATTATTATATCTATATACAAATATCATTTTATAACAATCTGGTCCCATTTTAAAATAGAGATATTTTATTCCCTAATTTAATAATTTTTTAAAATTTTTTATTCAATTTTATTATATATAGCATTTTTATAAATTAAATATGATTTTACTCTATTGCGAAATTATAATTCGTTTATATTTTAAACTTTCATATCTCAAACTTTAAATATGAACAGATACAATTATTTTAACGATTTTAAATTTTTTACATGACAAACGACATTTTGAGATTCACTTTTTAAATTTAAATGTGTCAAATATAAACATGTTTAATATATAAAAAATGTCATTAATTAAAAAGACTATATTGATTTAGTTTTAAAGTTTAGAAAACAATTTTCTCTCAAGTTTGTACAGGCCGAAAATTTCAATTTTGAATCTAAATGTAAAGACGTAAAAATTCTACTTTGATTTCGTTATGTGCAAAACTTTCTTACTAAATTGTAAGAAACAAATGTGGACAACAAATTATTAAAGCTTAATTGATATTATAGATTGTAAAATTGAAAAACATCATTTATAAAAAAATTGACTATGGATCAAAATAGAAAAGGAAAGTTCTTTTTTTACATTCCATATATGCACTTCTAACTAGATATCATCATCTTGCTCACATCATATTAAGGTTATATTGCGAATATAAAAAAATTAATAACGCAAAAACACCAACATACAAAACAACAAAAGCTTAAATAGGCAAATGGGAGTATCATAAAATAGAACAGTCATTATATCAAGCATTATCAATATAAAACGAAGCATATAACATTAAAAACTCTTACTGAGAATCAATTTTATTCAAATAGTGCCCCTTGGTCAACCTATTGAATTGAAGTCATGCACTTATGTGGGGCTGACTAAAGAATACTCTACACGAAAGTGATTAACACAAGGTGTCCCTGTCCGCTATAAAACAACAATCCTAGGGCTCCTTGTGATAAGGATCTACCTATCTCAACCACAGACTCATTCACCTTACCTGAGTATGGAATGAGTAATAGATTTCAACGGATGACTTACACAATGGAACAATCCCTGTACCGCTAGACACAGCCTGGTGATGAAAATTCACGGTATTCCCTCCGGAAATGCGCCTCACCTAAACCACCCAGTATATTTTAGTTAAAAAACCAGGAGTACACCATTACCACACATTATGCCTAACAAATAGTATCGATCAATAATAAAACACTTAATACTCGTAAAACCGCATACATAAAAATCC